ACCATGATGCTGAAATGATGTATTACACTAATACATCATAAAAGCACTATCGCTGGTGTGATGTATTAGTATAATACACTATCGGAACACTATCGCTGATGTATTACTCAAAAGAAGCATTTGTAAACCTAAAAAAAAAGCATCTTCAGTTATACTGAAAACTATGAACAATAATAATAACAAATAATAAATTATTGGCTCTCATGTCTGTTGGTTAGTTTGAAAAGGCCAGGAAAGCTTTTTAGAGCACCTCATTAAGTCCACCGAAGCAGAGATTACTTTATATTCCTATGACTGACTGATTAGTCATTGCAAATGAAAGCTTGTGAAGTAAAGGAAATACTTTGGGCTTCCTAATGAACAATCAAGACAAGCTGTTTGAGGAACTGACTACAAAAGTAAGTGCCTCTGCACACTCCAGGAGACTGAGCAATGTCGTATGTGTAAGAAAACAGATCTGTCTTCCGCCATGGTTTCCCTAGTTAAGTATCTTTCCCTCAATCCACTCACCTTGAAGGAACATACACCATCCACACATACGTTCACAACAAAAAGAAAGGTAAGAATGGCAGAATCAATTTTGCAATTAAGGTTTCCAATACTGGGTTGGGAAAGTCCTGGATATTTGGGATCGTAGCCCGGGGATGGTGGGGTTTTAGGAGGGACCTCAGCGAGGCTGTAATCCATAGAGTCCAGCCTCCAAAGTAACCACTTTCTCCAGGGGAACTGATCTTTGTAGCCTGGAGAACAACTGTAATTCTAGGAAATCTCCAGGCTCCACCTGGAGGCTGGCAATCCTAGCAGAAATATACCTTAATCTGGCCCTGCCTCCTGCTTAGTGCTACTGTTCCATCTGGGGCTGGGTCACTGGCATCTTTCTCCTCACTCCCCAATCACTTATGGACATGCAGCTAACTGTCTCATGAGGGCTTGGCATTGTTGGCCCATGACTCAGCAAGGGTCCACGGCTGGCTCCTGAAGCCCCCTGACTCCCTGTTGTCTTTCTACTCACGGCTTGCCTTCCCTCATTGAAGGAGTGAGCAGTGCAGGAAGCAAGGAGCAAGAACAACTGATCACCTCATCCTAAAGCTGCCAACCTCCAGGTGGGGGCTGGGGATCTCATGGAATTAAAAAAAAAATAAGGTATTGGAGTTTTCAATTAGCATACATTTATCATAAACCCAACAATTTTACAAACATTAGATAGGGTTGCCAATGTCCAGGTGGGGCCTGGAGATCTCCCACTCTTACACGATCTCCAGAACACAGAGATCGGTTCCCCTGAAGAAAATACCTGCTGGGGGGGGGGGGGGTGCTCTGTGGCATTATACCCTGCTGAGGTCCCTCCCCTCCCCAAATCCCACCCTCCACAGGCTCCACCCCCAAAATCTCCAGGTGTTTCCCAACCCAGAACTGGCAGCCCTCGCATACTAGTGGCTTCCCATTGGCCAATGTAATAATAAGCTCATCTTTGTCTAGAAAATCTTGTAAAATCCATAGTATATGTGGTGCTTTTTCCTTCTGATTTACATTTCATGGTAGGGTCTTGCTATTGTAAACTGTACTTTTTTTGTATTATAAATGGCTTCATGTAGGGCATGAAGATGACAAATTTATCTATATATTTGCTCCTAGATTCTTCTGTTTGATTTATTTCTGTGAATTCCCAGAGGGATCTGGCTGTTTTGTGGAACACATTTTTGGACTAGATGGATCTGGGTCTATGCATGTGTTTTTAGATTTTCCGCAATATACATCCAACTCAATATTCTATTGTACATCACACACACTCACACTGTCCTCCTCATTTAATTCTCTTTGTCGAATCTTGATTGGGATTTTGTTTCATGCTTGTCATTTCCAAAGCCTTGCGATTTATTGTCATTTCGAAAAATTAAGTGAAAATCAGATTGACATCTAATAATTCCACAGGTCCTCTAGAGTTTCTCTCAAAGTCTCCCATACACAGTGGAGCTTTTCCTCTCCATTCTTATCCTTCTGTGAAGATCATACACTGAGCTAAAGAAAAGTTTAACTACTGTCCTGTATAAAAACAAACACTGTGTTGATTTAACAGAATCTACGCCTTCAGAGGCAGTAAATGTCTCAATCCCAGTGTCAGAAACAGAATTGCCTGGCCGTGCCTGGCAACCACTGGAAGCTTCAGGGGCAGGGGTCATTTCGTAAAAAAAGAGCTAGGGGGACTCATTAGCATAACTCATTAGCATATGCCACACCCCCTGACATCACCGGAAGTGTGTCATAAGGCCACACCCCCTGACATCACCAGAAGTGTGTCATAAGGCCACACCCACCACTCAGTTAGTCTTAGTCTTAAAGGTTAGTCTTAAAGGTGCTATTTGTTAGTCTTAAAGGTGCTATTTGAACTCTTGGAGTATTTTGCAGCAACAGACTCAGGTTGCTGTCACTGAATATCAAAGAGGTGGCAGAGTGGCTTTAAAATGAAGTTCTGGGGGGAAGCCAACAGGACCTGGAGAGCCTTCAGTTCAGAAGAACTCATCCCAAACGGATGTTGACGCAAACTCTTGGGAAAATATTTTTGGCAACAGGCTAGAGCTTGAATATGAGAACAGAGCAATAAAGGAGGGTGCCGTTTGGAAACCTGAGGGCCTAGGGTGGGAAATGAGATACAGGTGCCTGTATGCCAAAGTTGGACGTTTCTGAGCCAAGCTGGAGGGGCTAGAGTGATTCATGTTGAATGACAATGTAGATACAGTGGGCATTTCAGAAAGCTGGTGGAAGGTGGAAAAAAATCAGTAGCTCCATATATTGAAGAGAGCCAAATAACTCAGAGAACCTCAGGGGAAGACGCTCCCCACGGAATTGCTATGGTGGCGGCCCCTACCTGGTGGAACGAGCTCCTGGAGGAGATCAGGGCCCTGCGGGACCTTATGCAGTTCCGCAGGGCCTGCAAGACGGAGCTCTTCCACCAGGCTTTCATATAGGGGCCGCCGCTGCCACCACCACCAACGGAGGCAATACCATCGGGGTTTCAGATCGCCCTGGGATGCTCAGCCATACATTGTGCGGCATGAACAACATGGGATTGGAACGATCTGCTGGACAGTGGTACCCCAAATGGGGCTGACTGAAAGATGCCACCATAACATCTAAGACCATCTTGTCTACTGAAGCACTTTTTACTGTTATTATTGATATATTGTTATAGTTATGATTGTAATGTTTATTGGATTTTATATATGGGCGTTTGCCCTCTTGTTAGCTGCCCTGAGCCCGCTTGCGGGGAGGGCGGGATAAAAATACCTAAATAAATAAATAAATAAATACATAAAATAGAGCTGAGACTTACCTCATCATAGACATTGTCATTTCGGCTGAAATCGCCAGTCTTCCTTGGAAGTACGTGGACATGGACATGCTAAAAATCAAAACATAATCAAACACAAAGAGAATTATTTTGATGATCAGTTTTCAATGACACTGAATTCTGCCTCCAAAGGTTTTCACCCCAATTCATTTATTAAGGAATTAAGCCCTTAAGAACATAGGAAGAGACCTGTTGAATGAGGCCATTTATTCATCTAGTCAAGCATCCTGTTTCTCATAGTGGCTTGCCAAGTGCCGTGGAGGGCCAGCAGACAGGACCTAAAAGCCATGGCCTCTCCTGATGTTGTGTTTTAACTATGAATGCCAGATGTCCTGCTATGGCAGGAAACCTCCCACCACCAGCCCTTACTGAATGTTAGCTGCATAATGTGTCTTTTGTAGGACCGGCAAAAAAAAGCATCCATACAACTATTAAGAAAGCTGTCCCCCTTTTTGGAAGACTTCATGTAAGGAGAAGCGGGCTTTTAGTTCTGGAAACTCCCGTTGGGGCTTGACTTTTCAAACACTGATGCAAAAGGGTCTGATAGTTATCAATCTGTATGTACTGAATGTTATTGCTTATTGAATGTAATGAGTATTTATACCAGACTAGGATGAAATAATGATACACTATGCACTTTACTAAATGATG